TAATAATGATAACAACACAGCCATTACTAACAAGAAGACGATGAATACATAGACACATCGTCAGAATACCATCCAACGACGATCCGAGACATCCGCGCGGACCTCCCACACTTTTAGTGTATACGTTGCTGTATTATGTTGGAATCGCCGATAACCTCTCGAAAACGTCCGAACACCCAAAGAGGAGGAAGGAGGATGATGAGGAGGATGAGAAGGATAAGACAATACAAATTTGTGAAGATGCCCAAACAATGGCATAACAACTGAATTAAACAACCTTGGGGCCGACAAGACAGGGCCTCGAGCTGCCTGAAGCTGTCGCGGCAACTCGCGGCTCAAACCAACAGTGACTTAACTGCACACATGTATTCTACACGTGCAATCAATACATGCCCCCGCGCGGGCGTTACCGGTGAAATGCTGAGGACATGGCTGAATCACGGTGCCTTCGCTTATGTCGAAACTTTGCTTCCTCGGCACCCATGTCCAACATCAATGTTCACGAAAAGAAAACTGTCACCCGCTACTACCGTCACACAATTACATGGTGCTTCACATACAAATTCTTTGAACATTCTAAGGGCACCGAGGTGAAACAGGGACGAGCTCTGTAAGCAAATTTGTCATTGCCCCTGGCATGGGAGGGAAAGGAGGAAAAGGAGGAGGAGAAGAGGAGGAGGGGGACTGGTGTAAACCCAAATGCCATCAACGATGTTGGGATGCACCCTCCCTCCAAGCTCCCTCTTCATAGGCCCCTACAACGGTTGATTTCCATTGAGGGAACTGCCTCGTTGGAAGACAACCGTTTGAAGACGCTGAAGCATGTCAAATTATTGTTCTCGGGATTCCAACGCCACGGATCAACCTGACTGCTGCGTCTTGACGATCTTGGATCGTGCCAGAACGCCGTTCTGGGGATTCCAACACCGCGAATCAACGTAACTGTTGCGCCCGCAAAATCCTGAATCCTTCCAACACAACATTTCGGGTGCGTTGATCATAGGAACCAATGAAACTCTTGCAAACTTAATAAACGAATGTGTGCGGCGCGAACGCGAGAATCACATCTTGAAAAGAAACCGCCCTCAATCCATGAAGCTCTTGCATCTTTTGAAGAAAGTGCGCGGCGCTAAAGCGAGAACCACGTTTTGAAATCTGGTTGTCCTCAATCCGTGAATCTGTTTAATTTTTGACACGAATGTGCACGGCGCTGAAGCGAGAGCCACGTTTTGAAAACGGGTTGTCCGCATTCCGTGGAACTCTTACAACTTTTTAGAAAGAATGTGCGTGGCGCTAAAGCGAGAGCCACATTTTGAAAACGGGTTGTCCTCAATCCTTGGAACTATTGCGAGTTCTTAAAATGCATGTGCGCGGCGTTAAGGCGAAGGCCACCTATTGAAAACGACCCGCCCTCCATCTGTGAAGCTGTTGCCAATTTTTAAGCTTCAGAATAAAAAGTGGGGAAGAAGTCTCAGGCGAAACGCCCAGCCCGCCCTAAAAGCTGGCCTCGGGGTGCGACGGGGAGAAATTATTCACAACGAAAAAGAATGGAGGAGGAAGAAGAGGAGGAGGAAGAGGATGAGGAGGAGGAAGAGGAAACAGAGGGGGGAGGAGGAGGAGGAGGAGGAAGAGGAAACGGAAAGGCCGAGGGAAAGCCCCCCGCGGGGCCTCCGCCTCGAGGGCGGCGCGCTGCGCCGCCAGCTCGCTGGCGTGGGCCTCGCGGAGCGCCGCCAGGGCGCGCTCCTCTCGGGAGCGGGGGGCTCTCTGCGGCGGGGATGCGCCGAGCGCCGGTCCTGGCCCCCCCACTTGCACGCATGCACATCTTCAGGCTACGGTGGTTTCGCCACGTACTGGTATTGGAGCTCGTGCTACACCAAACATCAATAGTAGCAACAATTCCCAAAGTATAATTCGCAGTCGTACCCGTATTCGCGATGATTGTCGTAGTCATCGTACTGGTATTACTAGTCGTCGTAATCGTCATCGTCGTCGTCGTGATAATAACATTAATCACAGTAGCAGTCGTCGTGTTAGTATGAGTCCCTCTGTACTAGTAGTAATATTAACAATAGTCGTAGTAGTAGTAGTAGTAGTAGTAGTCGTAGTAGTAGTAGTAGTAGTAGTAGTAGTAGTAGTAGTAGTAGTAGTAGTAGTAGTACGAGTAGTAGTAGTAGTAGTAGTAGTAGTAGTAGTAGTAGTAGTAGTAGTAGTAATAGTACAAGTCGTAGTCGTCGCAGTCGTAGCACCAGTAGTAGCAGCAGCATGAGTAGTAGTAGTAGTAGTAGTAGTAGTAGTAGTAGTAGTAGTAGTAGTCGTAGTAGTAGTAGTAGTAGTAGGTCGTAGTAGTAGTAGTAGTAGTAGTAGTAGTAGTAGTAGAAGTAGTAGTAGTAGTAGCAGTACAGGTAGCAGTTCCGTCGTAGTAGTAGTAATCATACAATCATCGTAGCTGTAGTCACCGACATAAGAATAGCAATCGTCGCAGTAACAACAACACAGCAGT